AATATCGATCAATTATTATTTTTCACATTAAATCTTATATTTATCAAAGATAAATATAAAATAAAAGACGTAGCTAAGATTGGCAGATCGTATTTGATAAGCATGCGCTAAAACTACTGTTTTGTGTGTGTGTGTGTGTGTGTGTGTGAATCGTTTTGTTATATTAATAAAATTGCTAATAGCTTATTGACAATATCACGTCTAAAGACGGAATTCATAGTCGTAAATAATTTTTAATTTTTAATTGAAAAATTAATTACAGATTTATATTTCGAATTGGTATTTTATATCAAATGTCTGTTTTATCTGTATTTGAAATTTGTGTTTGAAAAAAACTATTATTTACGATTATATGATTGAAGATATGTTATAAAAGAAAAATATGTATGACAATGTGCTCGTTAAGGAGGTTCTCGCGTTTGATGAAAGATAAAATCTACACGAAGAGAATTATCGTTTAAAATTTACCCTGAAAATATAGTAGTTGTGGTACAATATTTTAAAGATTTTTACCATGCACTTCTTCAAGTAAAATTAATCAAACTTATTTTATATTTTATTGCAGTTTTATTAATAAATGAGAGATTTACATTAAAATTCCTCGAAATACAATGTTGTCCCACGACTATCATATTTTCAGGGTAAACTCTAAAAAAAATTCTTTCCCTGTATAATATATATGTAATACAAAAGTTAATTAATATCAATAATATCTAAAAAAAATGTCATTGATTTTTACCGTACATTTTGAAGATATTTAATTCTAAATTTATAGAATTTTACATTTCAAATTGGAGGTATAACCTTATGCACATATATTTGCACAGTTAATCTCTTTTAAATTGGGACACTTGCGTATAAGCAATTTGGAAATCATTATAATTATAAAGTAAACGCTTAAGTTTGTGTAAAGTATCATTTAAATTGACGTAGTTTACAAGAACTTCATATTCTTTAATGAAAAAAGCTAAAATATAAATGGACGATGCGTGTACATCAAATGAGCATCTTACAACTTTTATTTTGTCATTCTGAAAATATTTAGTAACATATAAAATTAACAATAATTATATAATGGTATAAGATACTATTAGTAATCTTTTAATTTCATTATTTTAATCGTTTTACATATTATTATGAATAAACTGTCTATTGACTAGGAAGTAGAGCGCGAGAATCTCCTTAATACACCATATACATATGTATTATATTATGTATATGTAGAGTTTATCATCCAAATAAACAAATGAATGATTCAAATCTACAATTTCCTCAATCCAAAGCCGAAGTAATTTATAAATCAGCGTTTCATAAAGTAAAAAATATCTGAAGACTATATAAATCCTTGCAAAAATTAAATATAAATTGACGAATAATCAAAGATTTATAAAACTGTGATTATATTCGTTAAATAATGATCGATTATGAATACCGATTATGAATACTAAATATAACACAATAGATATATATACAACATTAATTTGACTCTCAAATTTTAAAACGATTTTTCTCGTACCTATCTTTTGTTTCTATGAGTCACATCTTCTCAGTAAAAATTTATACAAGGATTACGTTGCTAATTACCGCTGATTTTATCTAAGCCATTGATTCTCACAGCGCAATCCCTTAAAACGATCCTTCCGTCGTTGCGACTCTAATGATGCGAATTGGAAGATTAAAAGAGTACGCAAACGTACGCGTTCGCGAGAAGCGAGGAAAGCGCGTTAACCGAAGATCGAAGGAAAAGAGCGAGGAAGATTTAATCCGGCCGATACACGCGTTCGCGAAGGGAGTTCGACGTTTTCACATCGGTATAGTCATAATCCACGTACACGCGCCCGCGCGCGCTTTAGCACCTGTATACATCGCACATGAAATATGTAAGCGTGTATGCTCACCCTTTCGTCGCGCGGGCGCGTGCTCTAGTCTCGGCTATTATAGTTTGCCGCCGCGTCGTCTTCATTCAAACTCGATATGCCTGCCCGTTTGCAGCTCGATCTATCATCGCGAAACGGAGCGCGGCTCTTCATCGTTTCTCTCTCTCTCTCTCTCTTTTCTTGGCTTGCTCGTTCGCCGCCTTTCACATCAAGCGCGCTATTTTCTTTGCCAGCACGACAATACCACTACTGAGCGATCATGACTTCGTGGAATAGGGTGAGGTAGATAAGTTCACGCTTCGAGAAAAGGAGAAAGCAAAAATTGAAGGGCAAGAAAGTGAGAGAGGGAGAAAGGGAGGGCACAAAAGGATGATCGAGGGTGGTGGGAGTGACAAGTTTCAATTGCTTGACGACGAAGGGAGAGCCACAACAACTTCGCAGTGATATCTTCTTACCGTTGCGCTGCTACACATGATCGGGAAAGTGCCGTGTGATGCAACCCCCGTACACGTGCACGGGGATCGTTATACGTGCGGACACGTGTGCGTTATACATGCGTGATACGTGCACGCAATAACGAGAAGTAAATGCTCCTCGAGAGAGCACACGCGTAAATTCGCATGTAATAAAATTGCTTGTCTGTAGTGACGCAGGACCTAAAGCTTGTCTTCTCGCAGGACATAAAGATAAAATCGATATGTCGCCTTTATAAGTTCTTATTTTCTTTCTTTGTATTATGCGAGAAAAAAATCAGAATAAATCAAATTTGCGACGCGGACAATTCTTTTCGATATCTTCCCATGTATCTTAATTAATTAACATTCCTTTTAATGAGAAAATTTAGAACGTCTCTCTGTTCAATTTAATTTGCCAAGAGAATTAAAAACTCTGCATTGTGTGTTCGCGAACATCAATGAGCAAATTGAGACAACCCGCATGAGATCTTTTTCTCATGTTCATTTAAGGTATCAGGTTCGTTCGAGAGAGTACTTTAGTCGCGACTACATCTCTCAAACAAAGTTGTCAAGTTTCTTATATGTGTGTGTATGTACATATATCTCTACAAGAGCAAAAATTTTTATGTAATTAATCTTCGAAAATATTTTTTACAAAATTGTCCCAAAATTTATGACTCAAAATACCGTAGCATAAAGGTTCTCGAAAAATTAAGTAAAAAAGTTTTGTAAATTTTTATTAATAGTAGTTTTAGAGAGTTACAGGGATTTTAATATAATTAATTACAGATTACGTTATGGCCACTTGTCCATGAGTCGCGCGTACGATAGCATATTCATGCTGTAATGAGTTCACTAATATTCACACAGGTGACCGTCTGTAATTAGCCATATTTAAACCTTTATTGAGGTGTACGATGGAGTTATTCCGTCAGTTTCAATTTTTAAGTAATACGATACGAAAATTTACGATAGCAAACAATATCCCTTTAGAGTGCTACAATACATGCTTATAATTATACAATCATGAGTGCTCCTTATGGACACAAGCTTTTAAATAGTCAACATTTTGTTCAGAAATATAAATATTATCGCGAGAAATCGATGAAAAAATCCTGTTCTGTCCTACCTCAAAAACTACTGCTTGAAATAAAAATTTACTTTTTTACTTAATTTTTCAAGAACTTTGTTACTATAATATTTTAAGTTGCAAATTTTGGAATATGCTGTATAAATTTAATACTTTTAATACTTTTTACAATATTACTATTATACTATGTTAAATTATACTCAAATTGAGTTTTTGATCATTTCTAGGTTGTTACTGAATATATTAATTAAAATAATGGACTTGAACCATATGATTTAAAAGGTATATTAAATGTTATTCAAATTTAATTTATTATTTGCTAAGTACCATACGTTAACTAGAAATATCGAAAAATCATTTTATTAATCATTTCTATTTTTTAAATTAATATTACATTTTTTGTGTAGAGATGTAAGAGATAAGATTCTAAAATTTTTTGACCTTTCATGACTTTATACTAATAAAATATTTGGTTTTTCAAATATTTTTCAGCATGTTTTTTATTTTCATTGTAATTTATTTGCTTGATCTTTTTAAGTAAGAAAGGTTGGTAACTTCTAGTATTAATATGGATACCGTTATGTTGTTTACTTTGAAACTAATAAGCGATGCAACCACAGAAATAAATTGATTTGCATTGTGATGCACATAAAAGTTAAAAATAACAAAATTTATTTAATTAAGAGATTAGGTTACCATTGTTCCTTTAACATCTAAGATCATGATATACAAAAAAACTTAAGCAGTAAAAAAACGTAAACAATAAGCGAATTGATCACACAAAGATTGTACACTCAGAAAAAAATTGTGTTGGTTATTCTAATCAAATTTTTGATTAGGACAATAAAAAAAGTTAAGGTTGGTTACATATCAACAAAACTTTTTCCTGAGTGTAAGGTCATAGTAAGCAGTAGCAAGTTCAATATGTTGATTTCTTTATTGTTTACGTCTTACTGCTCAAGATTTTTGTGTGCTGTAGTTTTTACAGTGTACTACCTTTAGCGTAAAGTTGTCCACAGAAATAATTTTAACTTAAATTCACTAACAAAAAAAAGATTTTCGCGCTGACAATTAATCATACTTAAACGTGAAAAACATTTTCAAATAATCGAAAGAAGAATAATTAAAGATATGAAAATTATACATATATTTTAGATTATTTTCTAGTATCTCTCTGGCGATAGTAAAGTAATAGTAAAAATAAGTCTTGTCACATCACTATATTTCCTCGAAAGAGGAAAATATAGTGCTAAGTATCACAAGTTGGCAGTCGTTATTTAACACAACATGCGCGACTTATATTTATATCGATCATATTTATGTCAAAACGTTCCAAACGAAACCGCAATTTTCGATAAGTGTCACGCAATCAGCAAGATATCATAATGGACTAAAGTCTGATAGCTTCGGTCATTTGATGTCTGTTAAACATTACAAATTCATGTAGACGCGCGCGTGCGATGAAACTTGGTAGATGGCATTCTGATTGCTTTCGTCTTGGGAGAGCCAACGATCGCTCAATTAGTAACAAAGGATCGTAATCATGATAACGATGTCGAAGATGACGTTGACACTTACCGGCCACTCTTCGTGATGACCATTTCTGTTCCGAGCTTATGAAATTTCTCCCAGAGCTCTTTGCCCTCGAGCGTGACTTTGGGGTCATCGACGACACCGTCCTCTTCCGGATGATGAGGGGGTACGAGGGGATGATGTGGCGCCGTGAGGGGATGATGCGTGGCCAAAGGATGCGGTGATGTATGGAGCATCCCCGGCGGTAGCGGCGGCCTCAGAGGCCTCATCGTAGGACCGCCGGGACCTTGATGATGGTGATGTAACGCTGCTGCGGCCGCCGCTAGAACTTCTTCCGGCGTATGCGGGCCCAGACCTAGGCCTGAAATTTTAGCAAATGTTGTGCGATTTAGTTTGAAAAAAAAAAAATATCAATATCTGCTTGTTTTTTATTATAGATTCTTTATATGCAGATTATTATTATGTGATAGTAAGAAAGTACAGTAAAAAAAAAAAAAGAAAATTAATGAAGACATCTAGCAGCTATTTTTCGGTAGGATTAATTTAATAGAAGACCTATAATCATGGTTGATAATCGAAAATTGGTATCGGTGCACGTATGATGGGCAACATCTAGTCTCTCTCGCTATTCCATGTAAACGCAAGATGCGAGCTGTCGATCCAGCGAGTGGGCTGAAAATCAGCGATGAAATAACAAGTAAAAGACAGCTGCTTTAAGTTTCGCGAGGGTGAATCACCTGGCAATTCACGATAGCAACCCCCGGAGGAAAGTTGTGAATTCTCCTCTACGTCTCCTCGATGACCACCTTTTCTCTTCACCTGACTCTACTTTGGGGGGAAGGGGGAAGGTCTCAAACTTCATCGTCTCCTCTTCTCCTCTCTATTTCTTTTAAGACATTACGATGTCTTAAAAAAGATATTTTGCGGAAATTGCGAGCGGACACGAATATTTATATACACTTTATTCTTGAACTGCAAAGATGCATCTCCAAGAATAGACCTATTCGTGAATCAATAAAGCAATCTACATATATCATCTCCTTTATAGTAATAGAATATTACATATCATGATTTCAAATATAGCAACAGTGTTGCAAATTAATTAAATAGAGGAATATAATTACATTTCCTCCGAGAGAATTTAACTTTATACAAATGGAACTAATATGGAAATATATTATGTGACGAAAAAAATTCCGTTTGCTTACTTAAAATGAAATTGCAAAGTTTGCAAATGTGATAAAACGATTCAGCAATATCGAGCAAAGTGGCGACGATTTCTCGGAAATATGACTTAAAATCATATGCAGACATACAAAAAAACCTTATTTCACGCGTTGTGTGTCAATGCGGGCCATTTCGTGAGAAATTACATTAGTCGGATTAGTCCATCTAGATAACACTACCATTTGCTATAATGTCAAGTTAGCGAAAATGATTAATGTAAATCACCGTCCATAAATGTTATGAGTAATGATGCAGTTAATAGTTAACGATGTAGATACGGCAGCTCCCGGTATTTCCTTTCAATCAATTACCATCTGTAAGTGAAAAAAATGCGAAAAACCTGTTACCGCGTAATGACTTCATGATTGTTACCGCGGCAAATCTCTGTAAGTCAATCCTGAGCTCGATAACTATTATATTCAATAATCTTTGATCTCGTTTTCTCTTATGCATATTAATTATTCCGTTACTAAACATGTAAAAGAAAATATAATCGCTACTGTACAATACAATACTGTTTCTATCATATAATCTCTCTCGATAAGACATCGTGTCAATTGAAGTAATGATTCACATATAACCAGCAATATGGTACCTTCATGTATTCATCACGCAATGCTTTCTTCTCAAAACGAATAATAATAATAATTATAATAACTGAACGAGTCTGTAATTCAGTCTATATGTATATGATTAACGTTCATTTTTTTTGTCAAAGTATTGTGCATTAACGGATGATAGGTATTAAGGAGTTTTTGCAATAACATGGATTCAAATATGGAACGATTTAGTTTAGCGAACGCTAAAGTCACGTTATCCTTTTTTTAATTAGTTGTTAAGAAGAAGATAACATAATCTAGTTCACCGTCTTAAGATAAACGGTATTGCAAAAACTCCCTATTTATTGACGTGGACGCGTCAAAAAGATCTATTTGCTCATTCAATCTATCTTTGATGGTTGGTTCATTCAAAAATTTTGTTAGTGTCATTTTAGAAAATACTTTAAGCAATGCACTCTACGTCTAATAATAAATTGATCTAATAATAAATTGATCTAAAACCAACATTAAAAAAACAAAGCATCCTTAACGTTTGAAATATTTCGTTACATTATCTGTACTACCTATCTGTTTCATATATCCTAATTTATTTATATAACAATCATTCATAATTATATGTAATACCTATATCTGTGAAATTATTAAATTTTTCACATTTTTTTTTTATATAGAAGGTGTTGCAATCGTTAATAAACTTTAGTCACGACAATCACAACAGACAAAAGTGCGAAAATAAACGTATGTAACATTTTTACGACAACAACGCATACAACGCAAATATTGTACATATATCTCAAATTACAGTCATAACATTAATTTATACGCGCGTTAAATATATATGTTACCTTTTGTAATACAATAAAATCCTAAAATGTAACAATGCATAACTTTAGTTTTGCACGATTTTACATCCACGTGTACATCTTTTTATTGTAATCGACTTCTCGTCGATAAATCAGATTGGCTTTTATATACGAAACTATCCACACGCGCTGTCATAATTTAAATTATATTCTGCAATCGTAAGATGCACGGTGTGCAGGAGATGAATAATTAGGCAACGCATGGACGGAGGAATCTGTTTGCAACCGTATTTGTTGTTTGCGCGTTAAACGTAATATGTATTTGCGTTTGTGTAAAGACAAGCGATGTGGATATAATACTAGAGTAAAGTTATGGGCACTAAGTCGATAATGATATACCGCGCGATCTTATAACAGATTTGCGAGACTGCTTATTCCAGGCGCGGTTTCTTGCCATCTCTTTTTTGTCATTAATATTATATATTTAAAATATTGAAAACACACCGCTCGCCGTTTTGCCGATGTCTCGATCAAGATGTAATACGCAATGTAATTCATACTCGAGCATGTGGCCACGATTATAAACATATCACGGTGTCACATCGGTCATGTCATGCCAGACTTTCGCCAATGAACGAGAGATTGATCGCGCGAAATAGAGGATATTTTTACGCGTTAATGCATTCAGGAAACGGCTATAAATTCGCCGAAATTCGTAGCATATTAACTGAACGAAAGCGCTAGTGAACTGTGATGTTTGGTATTCCGTTCGTTTATCAAACGTACATCCCAGATACATCTGACGCAGCTGAATCGAATTTTATCGAACACTTACCCGCGTACACTCGATGTATTTTGATTTTTATTCGTGAACCAGTAACGGAAATATACGCGTTTCGACGCGACGCGACGCGACGTTCTTTAACCGCCGCGTTTTTTAATAGGGCGTGTTATATTTTTCAGTTGAATCCACGCGCAATGAGTACCGCTAAAAATGTTCAGCCGGACAGCCGCTAAAAATGTAAGCGGAATAATACGATTGTTTACAATGATTGTGGTATCGCTGCTAATCGAGAGAGAGAGTGAGGAGAAAGAAAAAAGTAACTGTCGGCTGTTAACTGTCCGCAACGCGGCATTTATGTAACGTCGAGCCGCATTATTTCTTATCAAAGGAGATGAAACTTTGAGTGTTGTGTGACGCAAGTGCGAAGTTCCTGTCGAGATGATGGCGCGGATTAAGCCACTCTTCATTTAATTTCCATTTATTTTGCTCTTTTACTAATTTTCGTGTCGTTCCTCGACCGCGTCGGATTGCATATTCATTATATTACTGGTGATTCCAACGTAAGTACAACATTCTTCCTGTCGGGTATTTCGCCAAGCCCTATTTCTATTTTAATGAAAACGGAAACATTAATTAGCGCAAAGTGTGCAACCTTGGGATACATATCTAGAATTCTTGCGACATACACGAATCACTTATTGTGCTTAATAAGATTAAGGACATTGAAGAATATTGAAATTTTCGAGATTTCGAGAAAACTTGTTGGAAAAAGCCGTATCTGAAGTCTGATTTCGGGACAATTTCGCGTTTGCGGTTACTATTTTTTTCCATATTAATTACGCGCGACATGGAACTTTGATCGCAGAACGCACGCTTTGTTACGCCGCTCACAAATACGCGGCGAATTTAATAACTCTCCCACGATTGGAAAGACCGTTATCAAGCAGTGAAAATACATTGCTTCATTGCGGCCAATTTATCAACGGTCGTGCGTAGCCTATTCTCTGCGCAAGTAATACATTATTGAAAATTATAAACAAGCAGCAGGCGTATAAAGCCTCGATAAAATGCAGAACGCGGATTTTCGATTTACCGAACGTGATTTCTGCGCCGCACAATACCTTAATACAATTGCTAACAGCAAGACACAACAATGCCCCGCACATTTAATCGTACCACGATCACATTCGAATTTTCCATCGTTTTCACGAGCGGCGATTTTGCCACTGTTCGCCACGTAGTCTTTTTACGTGTACACCTAACTGAAATGAACGACAGATTAATGCGATCAGTCGCCTACGAATGGGATTATTATCGCTCCGCAAAGTGGAACTAGAATTAATTTAACGATAAAGACTAATATATTTTATTTCGGTCTTTAGAATCCGATCTAAATCTGATCGAACGAATTTACAAGGCGTTTTTATGTTTCGTCTTATCATAAATTGTCGCCGCGTTGTATATTCGACAAACAGAAATAAAACGTATATTTCACTTTCCTTTTTGAATATTCAGTTCCTTTTTTCTTCCCCCCCCCCCTCTCTCTCTCTCTCTCTCTCTTTCCTCTCACCATCTCCATTGCTGTCGTTTTCTCCTCGGAGTACACGGGTTACGCACGCATGTACACGCGTGCGTCCCGAATTTCGAATGCAAGGAATGTCGGGCATGCCCTTGGCAAGATTAATCGCCACTACCTTATGGTCAGTTGGCCACGAGCCCGACTGACTATAGAAAAGAGGAAGAAGGACGAGCCGCGCCGCACCGCATCGTTTCGAAAAATGACGAGAAAGAGACACAATAACAGATGACAGATCGCCGTTGCATCCTGGCTCGACGATCGGATGTCGCGATGAACCGCGAGAATGTCGGCGACGCCAACGAACGGCTGCGCGTCGCGATTACAAATGAAGATGCAAACAATGCACAGTGCTCTCTTTCCAAGAGTTTTAAATTAACTGCGTTTCCCTCATTTTGAAGATTTCTCCGTTTAATTGGAAACAGAAGTATTCAAATGTTTTTGTTAGACAAAAAAAATATTTGACCATTTAAATGTTTCTAATCGGGGAGGGGGTTAATTCTTTTCTCGGAAAATTTTCAATCCAATATATTGAATACGTTATTATAACAAGTGAAAGAGTTGTACGTCAGCAGGAGCTAAATTGTCTAGCGGCAACACGGTAACGCGCGTGTCTACCGACGTCGGGAATTAATTCATCATTTAGCCTAACGAAGGGAATAACTAGTTGTAGCGGATGAGGTGGACGCGCGTAATAATGCGATGTCAGATAAGACGAGGACGAGCGATGAGCACGTTGTCGGCTCTGTAAATCGTTCTTCCGATTCTTTTTTTTTTTTTTTTCCACGCACCTGGCACGACATTTGCAGACAGCATTGCGCATCCCGCTGTTATTACAGTCACAAAGTAAAAACGAATGATAAAAAAATTCTATTTTCTTTTTCTAAATCGTTCTTCATTTCTAATAATTCTGTGCTAATAGAAAACTTACAACTTTTTTCTTACGTGTGTCGATATATAATTCCAGAACTCTTCAAACACATTTTCCGATATTGCGCATGTACCTATTTTATTATTGTTAGCAACGTTGACGCATTTCGCTCGCCGTCGCATTCTCAAACACTTTCTTTCCACGAAACGTCTCGCATTTTTGCATATTCGTATGCGAATTGAAATTTCCATTCGTCGCGTCGGTGGAAATGCATACGAGACAATACGTTCTGAAAGTAATGCCGAAGAACCGAGTTGCGAATTCACGTTCGCCCCGCTCATTTAACGCCGGAGATATGCTAGATCGATTACATTATCACTGCCTAAGTTATAATATGTTGCTGACTATGTACAGCACCAATCGCAATTTTTGTCGACTGAAACACAACGGAAGAGCACAGGCAATAAAGAAACGGGGAGTAACAGATTTCAACGTATCTGAAACCGTGTCTATGTCAGAATACATAGTTTCTAACAGATTGAAATCTGGGATTCTCCATTTCTGTTGTCTGTGCTTTTGAATTGTGAATCTTAGACTAATCGCGCTTGGAAAAATAAAATTCTTTCGATTCTTTCGATGATGTTAATGTTGTAATCACTGAATCGGGTGTAATCCGGATTCTTTTTTATATCAGTTCGCGTATATCGATACGAATCACATTTTCATGATTAATGTGCTGATGTATCTTCCGAAAGAAACCACCCTATCCTTTTTTTTTTTCAGAGGAACAAAATATATTATCGGCGCGCAATTTGTTCAAACTGAAAATTACAAATTTTACACAAAAGTATTATTAGGCGTCAAGACTGTTCGCTGAACTGTGTTGAAATTCATTATATTATACTTTAATATATATAAGCTTTAGTTTTTTCCCGCGAAAAGAAGTTAGATATCTATCAGCATTATAAGCTAATAAATTAATCAGAAAAGATTTATCTTTAATAGAAACATGCTTTATGACCCAAAAAGTTGCAATTAATCTTTCGATTGAGAATGCACAAGGGGAACGTACTTATACATGTAATCTCGAGATATTTCACCAACGAGAGATATTTCATTCTCGCAAGATATTGGCCAACTATTCTGAAAATATTGTCACACCCTCAGATAATCTCATTATGAATTGTGACGGATCGAGTCATTATAGTCGCAATTCGACTCCAATAAATTTCTCTCGCGAAACTCTCCATCGAAGAATAACAGATAAGCCAACGTCGAACCATTGACAACACTTTTGGCAACATTTTTCTTTCTTTCTTTCAGGCGAATAATCTCAGGAATAAATATTATTGAGAAAACAATTAGCAGCCGATTGGTTGGGCACAATCAAATGTCGTGACATTAGCGCCAATCTTTATAATGGCATCAAACGACTCGGCAAACAAGGTAATAAACTGTCTTTAATTAGCGGCATTTAATATCAATAGCGGCGGGCTACGTCGCTTTATCGTCGCGCGAATTAACAATGGCTGCCATTCGCGAGATCAGTCTAATTATTGCGCAGTATCGCGCGAGGAGGAAAAAAAAAAGAGATCGCGAAAAAACGCACCTCTTGGAAGCGGCGCGGCGGACAAAACGCGCAATATTTCATAAGCCGTTTTTCTTCCGTGCAGCCATCGCATCGCGCGCGCTTTGACTTTGACGTCGCACGCCAAGTTGTACGCGATCAGGATATTGCGTAAAGTTCATGAGACGAAACGAGACGAGATGAGACGAGACGACATGAGTGACAAACGAGAGACTTCCAGCCGGTCACGAAATGTGTCCTTCCGAAAAACATGCGCGTTTCCGGCGGCGACAATGGCATCACGCCAGAACAACAACAAGATGCGTCCGCACCGCAAATTTCTTCTCGAAATGCCGGGCGATTATTACGTCGATTTCCAACTGATGAGAAAACTCAAGATCGACGACTTTTGCCGTTCTATCTGTTACGTGGCTCGGACTTGTCACCGAAAAAAAAAACGAGTCAAACTCGCGATACGAAGAATATTTATCAAACCTGACGATAAATTCTATACACGGGATTTAGCTTTCATTTTATGGATAAAATAGGCGAAGATAGAGGTGATATCTAAGCGCTAGTTATATTCGCTGGAGATAAAAAGCAGAAAATGATATGTCCGCGATGTGAAAATCGGGAAAGTAAACAACGTATCCATAAAACGAGCCGACAACCTGCCTAATACTCGCGCCGGTAACTACCGTCTCCCGCGGACTGTAACCGAAATAAACACCGTCAGCATTACCGTTGGCACGCAACAAGTTTGTTTAGCTCATACGGTTATCGTATGGCTCGTAAAAAACTTGTTGACTCCTTTCTTTCTCTCTCTCTCATCGCGCTGACGATGATTAATTAAATTGCAAGAGCACTTTCCTCGACGAAAAGGCAGTCTCTACGGAGGATTAGACGGCTAGAATCCGCGCGAATAGAAGATCTGACTGTCGTGACGCACGAGACTAACCAAAAATAACTGATATAATCCGACGGATCATACGGTCAGAATGAATTTGGGATCTAACAGTAAAATGAAGGTCCTTTATCCTTTACAGCCAAAGCTGTAATTGATAACGTAATTGATAAAAAAGATAAAAGAAAGATCACGATGCTCACCTGGTGGCGTAATACCGTGGGGGTTGAGGTGCGGATGATGATGCGCGCCGGCGAGTATCCCCTTGGCCTGAAGATGATGCGCCGCCGCTGCGGTTGGTCCCGGCGAACTGGTGGGCGGCAGATGTGCCGGACCGTAGAAACTCGCTGCCGCCAGGGCGGCAGCGCTGAAGTAACTC